CAATTACAGGTGTGCACTACCACACCAAAATTTTCATTTTATTTTATTTTGTCTTTCTGAGACAGGGTCTCGCTCTGCAGGTCAGACTGATGTTGAGCTCACTCTAGCCCAGGCTGGTCTGGAATCCTCCATCCTCAGCCTCCACAGTACTGAGATTACAGGCATGCACCACCATGCCCAGGCTCAACCCTTTCTTATTTTAATTTTGAGACAGGGTCTCTCAAGGTCAATAAACCGCCCCACAGTGCTGGGATTACAAGCAGCTCCAGGCACACATCTTCCCAGGCTCTTTCTGGGGAATCTGTGAGTCTTTCAAGGGGAAGAGAAGCCGCAGCTGTGAGCGCCTTTCTCTTCCCACCCTGTGGAACCTGGGCATGCCTTGTCCGCCAAGACTTCTTCGCCAGCTAAACTGCCATGCGGCTTGAGGCAAGGCTTTCTTTATAATTTTGAAAGTCTGGGATGGTGCGCGCCCAGCGCAGCTCCGGGATCGCAAACCTGCCCCCGCCCCACTCCCGCCGCCACCCCCCTCTCCCTCCCGTCTCCTCCGCTGCTACTGCAGGAGCCGGACGTCGCGTCAGGGCCCCAGAACCAGGCGCGCTCACCGTGCACCAGGCCGCGGTGCTGGCGGGCGTCGCCCCCACCCTGCCCTGGCCTCGCCAGCTCTGGAACTCAAGCTGTCCTGCAGACGGCCGCTGCACTGTGGCTGTGGAAGGCGTCCAGGTCCTGGGCCCCGGAGCCTCATGGTCTCCAACGTGTGGCTCCAGCACTCGGGCATTTCCGTCTACGCCGCCGGCCGGTCGGTATGGAGCGTCCGGAGCTCGGCGCAAGGCGCCCCCTCGGTGTCCGGTGAGCCCGGGCAGCGGGCGGCAGTTGAAGGACGGTCTCGGGTGCGTGGCCTCCAGTTCCCCGGAGTTTGTCGGTGGCCACAGTCCATGTTTAAGTCCCCAGGGCAGCAGCGCGATCTTCACCCGCGCAGCCCAGGCTGTCCCCGAGCCGCTGGTTTGGCTGAAGAACCGGAAGGTGTTGAGCCCTGAGACAGCAGCTGGTACCGCGTCCTGTCCCCCGGTGGGGCACGGCGCCCGCCCGAGCACCGACCTCTCCTCTGACCTTGGGTGGATGGGGACTGTGAGTGTCCCTTTCGCTGGCAGGGCCCTCTCGAGCTGGGCCCCTTCCTCCGTGGGGTCGCGCCATCCCCACGCGGGCGTGGGAAGGGCTGCAGCAGCTGTGTTTGGCTTCTCAAGCTCCCTGAGGCTGGCAGAGGTCTCCGTGGAGGACGAAGCCATCTAACAATGTGTGGCAGAAAACAGCATGGGCTCCAACCAGGCCTGCGGCTACATGGCTGTGGTGGGGTTGGGGGCCAGGAGCAGCCCCTGCCCTGGGGGCCTGCGGGCTGCATCCCTCCCCCTCTTGCCCTTGGAGTGACCTGGGAGTCACCTCCATCCCCTCAGCCATCTTCCACTACATGCTATACCTCGGGGAAGGAGGAGGTGATTGTGGGACTTGTGCAGGCCAGGTTGTCGCTGGTTGCAGCCCCTGAGCTCACTGTGGTGCCTACCAATCCTCCTTGGTCCAGGCCCAGCCTGCCTGGTGGGCCTGACTCGGCTCTCCTCCTGTGGTTTTCCGAGCTGGCGCTGCTCCCGACATTGGAGATCCCTTCTTCTGCCCAGCCCCCACTCCTGAAGGATGTTCCCCACTTTCCTTGGAGGTCCCACTGGCCTAGCCAGGACCGGGAGGGGCCCTGTCCCCATTTCATGGTGCCGTTGAGCACAGTGAGTTGCAAGCTACTATGTTCTTCACTCAGCCGGCCCAAAGCTAAGGGACTGTGAAGAGGCAACATCAAGCAGACTTCTCCAACCTGGAGCCTGCTCCGTAGAGGGCGCCAGTCAGGCCTCTGCTTCCATTGTCCCCTCCACCAGGGCAGCAGTGAGCAACAGCTAGCTCCTCCAGCACTGTGGAGTACTTGGCCTTGGGTGGGTAGGGGTTGCCGACCAGTTCACCCATCTTCCTCTGCAGCCCCTGGTGCCCTGGGCTTTTCCACCCAAGTGCTCAATGCCATCTCTGTGCAGGTTCCTGGGAGCTGCTCCTCAGCTAGGAGCCATTCAGCTTCAAACGCGTCCACCACAAGCTGCCTGCTGCCCATTTGGAGGGGACCCTGCTCCTGGCCAGCAATGTCAGCTCTTCCTCTACACAGACCTGGGTGAGACCATGGACCTGTTTTTTTTTCTCCCTCCCTCCCTTCATAGTGTGTATCACTGTATCTGGAGTTCCTGAGCACTCTTGTCCTACACACGGGTCCCCTTTTCCACTGTGATCTTGATTCACACTCAGCCTCCTGCCCAGAAAGGTTGCTTCCTTTGCTGTCCCGGCTCCTTGCAGAAATCAACCTCTAGGCTTTCAACAGCAGCTGGGATGGAAATAGCACTGCCCGCTTTATCTCTTTGCATGATGTGCCCCCCTGGCCTCCCCTAGGGAGTGGGTCCACTAGGAGGACCCCCAGGGTTGCCTCTTCAGAGAAGAGGCAAGGCAGAGCTTGGTCTTCTGGTAAGAGAGTCCTGGGCTGGGTGCCTGTGGCTAGAGAGCGGCTCTGGGCCTGGGCTCGTGTTGGGCATCATGTAGACCTGGCTACCTCAGCGCTCACCTCCTCTGGCCTCTTCCTTGGCTGGAGACAGTTTAATGTGGAGAAGTGGTGCTGAGATAGTGTGCTCCATGAGACACAGGACCCAGAGCACAGGCATGCATGCAAGGAGCCTGGGGTAGCAGCAGATCCAGTTTTCTTCAGAGCTTCATGGTACCAGGGGTGGGAGGAGGGCAGGGAAAACTCATGCTCCCACAGGTAGCAAGGACACAGGTAGCAAGAGTAGACAGTCTTTTCCTGATGGAAACTCCTTTCATACCCACAGTGAGGCACAAGGTGAAGGTCTGGGCAGTGCTGACCTACTGCAGTGATGAGCCTGTCTGTTTAGGCAGCCTGCTTTGCAGGCAGGGGCCCCGAGAATGCTGGGCATTCTCAGCCTGCCTTGGCTACAGCTGGGGCCCAGGCCCAGAGTGGAGGAGACGGAGCCCTTCGCCCAGGTAAGGGCTTCAAGTGGTGGAGTGGGGAAGCTGTGTTTCAGACCTGGGAAGGAGAAAGGCCTCACTACTTTCCCCCAGGGGCCCTGGGAGCAGCAGTTTCTAGCCCAGGGCCTCCTAGTGCCTCCCTCCAGATGCCATTACCTCTAGACTACTAAAGAATTGACTCACTTGTCACCCCAGAGTCAGGAAAGAACCAAATGTCCCCAGCCTCTCTCAGGGAAAGGACAGACCTGGACACTGTGGAAGAAAAGAGGGTGAGATTTCTTTGTTCTGCTTCCTGAATCAGGAAATGGGAGAAAGCTGGGGATGGTGGCACATGCCTGTAATCCCAGCACTTTGGGAGGCTGAGCCAGGAGGATCGCTGCAAATTTGAGACCAGTCTGGACTACATAGCGAGTTCAGGGCCAGCCCAAACTGGAGAGCAAGATCCTTTTAAAAGGGGCTGGTGAGATGGCTCAGTGGTCTAAAGCACCTACTTAGAACAAGCTTAGCAAAGCACAGGGACCGCGGTTCAATCTCCCAGCACCACATGCCAGCCAGCCCCGCCCCCTGGTGGGCTGAGCTGGCCACACACACACACACACACACACACACACACACACACACACACACAGAGTTCAAAAAAAGTTAATATTAAAAAAAAAAAAAGATCCTTTTAAAAAATGGGAGAATCAAAACCACCAAATAACCTCAAACTAAACCAAGCTCCAGTGGGGGTCTCCCCACCCACTTATCCTGCCTCATTAGCTCACTGGACCAAAAGTAAACACACCAAAGATTTATTATAGCTTGAAGGGTCCTCCCACAGTGAGAGTCACTTCTCACAGCTATAATCTGTCCCTGTATATCCAAACTGAGTCTGACCAGGACTTGCTGGCAGCCTACACTCCTGGCTGGAATGGATGGGGAAAGGGGAAGCCCAGTTACTTCCCTTCCCAGCACCTAGGAGTTCAGAACCACATGAGCCCAAGTGGACTGCCACTAGAGCAACCAAATTCTCATCTTTTGCTTCCCAGGTCCAAAGCACTGGCTCCTCTGCCAGGGACTCACCTTACTTCCTGGTTTCCAGGCTCCTGAGCACTGTGATTTCAGGCAAGCACCACACCAACTTGGTCAGGGTTTTTTTTTGCAGAACTGGGGACTGAACTCAGGCCCTTGTGCTTGCCAGGGAAGCACTTATTCCAATGAGCCACCTCCCCAGTCCCTATTGATCAGTATTTTTTTTTAATATTTATTTATTTATTTATTTATTTTTTGTGTGTGGCCAGTTCAGCTCACCAGGGGGCAGGGCTGGCTGGCATGTGGTGCTGGGGATTGAACAGCGGTCCCAGTGCTTTTGCTTAGCTTGTTCTAAGTAGGTGCTTTAGACCACTGAGCCATCTCACCAGCCCTATTGATCAGTATTTTTAAGAGGTCAGTTTGCTCAACCAGTCAAACCAATAGCAGCCCATCAGTGCACCACTGAAGCACAGATGACCCAAATTTTCCCAGCAAACCACCACCCTCAGCAACGCCATAACTAAATCACAAGGCACAGGGAAGTTTAGAAACCATTCCTTTCTTTATTAAACATAGCTTGCAAGTGATAAATATTACAAAGTTTTTTTTTCTTTTAATCCTTTCTCCAAAAATTAGCTTATTATTAGAATCTCACCGCTGAAATTTGCTCAGCAGCATCTGAAACAGATGGGAGTGTATTTGCCTTTTTGAAAACCAGTTTCTATTGGTCTTAGTTTTTTCATTTTATTTCCCAAACACAATGCAGAAAATTAGAATGAGTTAAAAAAGAAAGAAAAAAAGAAAGCAAAGAAAAAGGAAACTTAGAGTTGTGCAAAAGGGTCTTGTTCCCCACCCACCCACCCTGTTCAGGGAAGGCTGTTCCCCATTCCACCTCCCTGCTCCCCACCCCACCCCTCTATCCTTCCCCCTTCAGCCAGGGCTTGGCCCCCATCCTGCACCCTCCCCGGGCCTCACCAGCCAAGAACCTCAAAAGTGGGAGTGCTCAGCCCAGGCAGTGGGGAAACTGGGCCCCTGAGACAGTAAAAAGCTGTCTTGGGGGGTTCAGATGAGATTCTGGGGGAAGGAGAGATGTGGGCTATATCTGAGCTCTCCTATTTGTCACCAAGACGACAGGAAGTTTTGTAGCTCTCAAAGGGAATAACTAGTCCACCAACTGGGGCATTTCATGGGTCAACCACACTGGCTTTGTGATTGGTGGCGAGGTGGGGCTTGTCGCCTGGTCCCTGACCTCAGATGGCTAAACCCGTGGACAAAGATGTGACTGGCCTGACTTGATATGCAAAACACTACTGTCACCTCCCAAGTCCATGTTAAAGTAGGGCACTGTCTCATCCATATCCATTTTACAGTGATACATTTCCTCCCAGATTTGTTAACCCTACACTTCCTTCACCTCAAGCAGTATTTTATCAGAAGGTGGGGCAACTAAATTTTAAAATTTTAAACTAAATGGCCAGATGACTTCATAGTCTCACCCAACTCACTTCATAGATTAGAAAAAGCTCCGACCCAGAAAATGAACTGTACCAAAGATCACACTAGGATACGAGACTTCTGGTCTCTAAATTGTGCCCCTCTGCACTGGTGGTTATCTTCCAGTCCTGGGCCAGAAGCCCAGCCTCATTGAAATTTGTGCAGGTTCTAATGCTGCAGACAGCTAGGGCTCTCGTTAGATGAGACTGCCTTACAATAACTTATCAACTCCTTTCTACCATCCTCTGACAATACACCCTCAAAGGCCCACAAGACTTGGTCTCTTCTTTTGGAGGATGGGGTGGGGAAAATCCCTTGCATAAGAAAGCTTGACACTGGATTTTGTTATACAGGTATATTGTATATATGCTGATGCAATCAGAGGGGAAAAAACAGTGCAAATACAATTACAATTCATAATAATACTTGGTTTCGATGCCCCCGGGAACTGCCCCACTCCTCCACTACCTCCCAATCCCCAGCACTTCCCCACAGTATCAACCTAATGCTGGGGGGCAGGGAGAGGGGCAGGTTAGGGTAGGGAGTGGGCTCTGCCAAGGCAGTGCTGGTGACCCGGAGGGACTACTCCAGGGTGGGGAGGCAAGGCACAAATTAGGGGTGGGTGGTGGGGGAGGTGGCATCTCTAAGGAGGGATGGGGTTGGAGCAGCTGCCAGTCTCAGTGAGCTGGGCCCGGCCCACTCCCTCCCCTCCCTCCGCAGCCCTGCCTCCCTACCCCCACCCCTTCCCCAGAAACCCTTTTGCACGGATCATACACAAACGGGCACATTACAAAATGACGTAACACAGTTTCACAATATCCATGGCTAGGGCTTTTTTTTCTCTTTTTCAGTTTTTTTTTTTTTCTACACAATGTACAATTCCTTTTAAATGGATCAAGAAATAGCTTATATACACGAATGAGTCCTTGTTATAACATCTCGGCAGCAAGTATCATAAGCTAATGAAGATCTTGGTGGAAGGAAGGGAGCCTAGGGCTGGGGTGTGGGGGAACGAGGAGGGTTTCACCTTTTGGAGGAATGGAGAGGAAGGGAATGGCTGGGGAAAGGAACAAAAGTAAAATACCAAGAAGCATCTTTACAAAGCAGTTCTATAGCTAATTCCTTTTAAAGGGAAAAGGAAAGGAAACCAAAGTGGGAAAACATTTATCTGTCTTAAAAAAAAAAAAAAAGAAAAAAAAAAGTCTACCATATATATATCCAAAGGGGGGAAAAATGTGGGAAAAATACTTATTCCAGCAATGGAGAGTCCAGATGCTGTGGTTAAGTGACAAAACTTGACAAATAAGGACCTCTGTCCCCTAGTTTCACCCAAACCTTACCACTAATCCACCCACTTCAGGTTCTAGGGAGTAAGACACCACCCATGAGTAATATTTTAGTGCCTCAGGGTCTGGAAGAAGCCAGGCAGAACTGGTGGGACCCTCACTCTCAATATCCCAAGAATCAGAGCTCCAGGACAAAGGACAACTCTGAAGACAGGGTCTTCCTGCCTATCCTTCAGGCATGAGGGTTAGTGTCTACAGGGTCAAGGGCTAGAGAGGACAGTGACATCAGACCTGGAAGGACAGCAGGCAGTCAGGGATGAACCCTGGAGACTGAGGGTGAAAGGGTAGAGGGAGGGATAGAGGCAGTGGGCAGCTAACACTTTCATCATGATTAAGGAGCCCTCATCCCAACATGAGTCCCTGGGTAGGGTATGAGGATGGGGATGAGAGTAAGAAATTAAGCCTCAGTGATTGAGCAAAGGGTCACAGAGCTAACCAGTCAGTAAGCAGCTTCTGTGTAAATGACCCAGAGGAGGGAAGAACAGGGAAGATTTGCCCTCTCTCTCAGCACCTGAGCAGGCACTAGACTGTGGGCTTTCCTTCCCAATCACCCTCCTCTCTATGCATCTTACATCTGAATCCCATTCAAGGTGGCCTGGCTCCCAGGGAAGGGGCTCAGCTCAGGGCAGGGATAGCCCCCAGCTAGACGGTATTGCACATTCTCTGTTCCTAATTTGTAATCTCAAATGACAAACCTGGGCACCTTGTACCTCTGAGCACCTCTGAGTTGGGGGTCAGGGAGACTTAACAGAAATGGCACTTTATCACGGGGAGGGGGAAGGCTAGACAGACATGCCACAAGGCAGGATGACTTGTAGGAAAAACATTAAAAAAAGCTTCCAATTTTGTGGAAGAGAGAAAAGCAAAACCAAACAATTCATCCAGTGCTTTCAAAGCACAGAGGGCAAAGAAAAGATGTAAGAATATATCTTTTTATATATATATATATATATAATTTTAAAATAACCCCAGACCCAGTTCCATTAACCCCCCTCCCTCTCCCACTTACAGTCAGGGGTACCACATTCCCCCAAAATACTTGAAACGACCCGATCACTACCTGTTACTAGCGTCTAGCTTCCAGATCATTTCACCACTTGGGGAGCCCAGACACTGGTTGCATCTCTGCTCCTTTATTAAGTGCTCAATGAATTTGGGGGAAGGGAGAAAAGAAAAAAAGCCAGGGAGACCCGTAGGGCCAGTATAATCACCCACAGTGGGACTGGGGTGTGGGGAATAGAGGTCAGAGTGGGGAACTAAGCCTAATTTCAGCTCCTTCTCCCACCCTACCCCCAAATTTTATGAGGAAGATGTGCAGTTTGTGTGTTAATTTTAAAAGTGCCTTTTTACTTTAAAAAAATTATTTAATTTTTTTAAAAATAAAAATGAGGGAACTTCCTCAGGTGGCTTTCAAGGGCAAAATATTAAACAATTCTTCATACCTCTGCTAAGAGTAACCCCAGTGCACTCTGACAGCCTGTAGAGCTCAAGAGGCAGGCAGGTGCTCTCCACACTCTTGAGAGCAGAAATCCTTCCCTTAAGGGGGCTTCCCTTACCTCAAAAAAACAGCCTAAACCCCTCCCACCTCCCCCACAGCTGAGCAAATGGGATGGAATCTCCCTAATCCCCAGAACAGCAACATTGCACAATTCATTCTCTACATTAGTAGCACTTAAGAAAAAAATAAAGGAAAACAAGAATCAAAATTAATAGAATTCTGGGGTGGGGAAAGACAACATTTGTGTAGCATAGGTCCAAAGCTGGCTATGACATGAAGTGTTTGGCCTTGGGCAGCTGGTTCTGCAGTCACGGCCTCAGCCAGGGCAAGATTGCACCCTGATTCTCTGAGCCTTACTCTCAGCCTCTCCATAGACAGAAAGGACAGACAGATGTGAGAACCGCAGCTGCTGAGAGAGCTTCTTCCCCTGCTTCCTCCTTTGGTCACTGGACTCAATCATGCCCATTCCAGCTTTTAGAACCCCAGCAAACTCAGCCTGGAACAGATGTGTCATAGATGGGGCTGTGGTTAAAGGAGGGAACACTGGGATTTTTAAAGAGAGTGAGAGTGGGGTGAGGGACAATTCTGTTAAGAAAACAAGATTAAAATCTGGGCTACTGGGCCTGGAGTAGATCCACTGGGACCAGACCAGTCTCACACCCCCACACCCGGAAGGCCAGGGGCCAGCCTCAGTCCTCCCTAGCTCACCACTATGCTCCCCTTACACCTCTTCCTGCCCCTCTTCCACAGGTGAATTCCAGGGTGGTTGTTTAAAGCTTCTTTCTCCAGGCTCTTTCCCTTCATTCTTAGAGCCTGATTATAATACTAGAACACAGCTTCTCTAATGTCCAGCCCCAAACACCCACAGCTGAGGTGCTACGCTTCCTTACCTGATGCCATCTACCCAACAGCTCAGGCTAAGCACATCCAAACCTCTGCCCCTAATGCTCCAGGTCATGTCCTGCTTGGCAGCTGAGACCCTACTGCAATCTGCACTGCTCCTATCATTGAACTGAAGTCATTTATGTTATTAAAAAAAAAAAAAAAAAGACAGAAAAAGAAAAAAGAATGGGGGAGACTTAACCGTTCACTGAACAAAGGGAGGGCATACAATATAATTAAAAAAAGATTAATAGTTATAGCATAAAACAAACTTAGGAAACACATGTCAAAGGGTTTAGATTCTCCCAGGGCCTCATCCTCACCTCTCTCAGAGGCAAAGATCCACTTCACTGTTAAAGAAAACTGAAGAGAGAAGATAAAACGGCAGGAGAACAGATCGCAGCAGTGTGAAAGGGGAGATGGCAGGGCAGGGCGTTGTGTTTTCTCGTTGATTTCTATTTTTGTCTTCTGTTTTTCAGTTTTGCTTTCCGTGTATGGTAGGCACCAGTACAGGCACTGCATGCGACGGAAGTTGGGGCAATGGAAGAGAAAAGGGGTAAAGGATTCAAGGTTGGGGCAGTGCGAGTGGACCAGGCGTTATTTCTGTCCACTGATGGACTGCGATATAGACCGAGGAGGGATCATGTCTAAAAGGTACTCGCGCTGTCGGTCTGCCAAACTGGGGGCTTTGTGTCCTCCAATGCCAGTGTTCAAGTATGCAATGTTGACACCTAGACCAAAGAGACAAAAGTGGAGGGGAGGTTTTAAAAGATTAAACCATGTTATCTTTTGCATTACCCTGGGGCTGCATAGTAGATAGGGTGAGAACCTGCACCTATGAAGACTTAGCTAGCTCTATTTCAGCAGCTACTCACCTTTCTACTCCCAAGCTTTCTACTACCTTCCTACTCCCAAGGGAAAGAGGTTTTCCTGAAATTTTAATCCTACCAGGAATAATGAACACAACAGAAGAAATGTAGTAAAGAGAGTATGGTACAGTGATGGGGGGAAGGTAAAGAAAAAGGGATGTAATCATCGAATCTGTTCTGATTTGGGGGCCACAGACTATGGAGAAGCACCCCTGGATAACTGAAACAAGACAGGTGAAGTCAGTCAGGACAGAGTGGGCCCCACAGAAGGCACAGTCATTATTACATTTATAACAGTAGGGCTGTGTTTTGAACTTAGAAAACATTTGCTGCCAAGCATGGTGGTACGCAGCTGTTATCCCAGCAATTGGAAGGCCGAGGGAGGACTGCAAGTTCAAGGACAGCCTGAACTAAATATTGTCTTGACACTGTCTCAAACTTAAAAAAAGAACCAAAACAAGCAAGCATCCAGAGAAAGAGCAAAGAAATACTACTGTACATCCTAAAGAACAAAAAGAAAACAAAGGAAGGAACAATTAACCTAAAAGGGCTGCTAAAGAACTGTGCGCTAGCCAGCTAATTTATGTGAGAAGTTTGCAGATCAACCTCTCTTACCTGGCATACCAAGGAGGCCGCCTGGCACAGACAGTTGGGGTGCCTGTGCAAAGTTTGAAAGCATGGAACGAGCAGAGGTGGGTATGCCACGCTGGAGGCTGCTCTGGGGCTGCGGAGCCTGCAAAATGAGTAGATGACAAAACTTTGTCAAGACAGAAGGTTAAGTGGGAGGCAGACACAGGAGTACAGAAGAGAGGTACAGTTCTCACAGAAGAAAGGACAAACTGGGACACATGGTTGAAACCAATTTCCCCTGAAATCAGGGTCAGGGGAAAATTCCTTACCTGCCGAAGTGTATGATGTCTCATTATGGTATCTTGTTTACTGACACTGGACACAGCCGGAGCCGTAGTAGGAGAAAGCGCTGCCTGTTGCTGTAATCGCTGCTCAATTTCCTGTTGAGAGTCATCAGATCAGGCCGGGCAGGACAGCAACCAATTTCTTAACAAGAAAGCCTAGAGGCCTTATCTCTAATACTGCCAGCTAGCTAAAGGCAGCTGGCTCTTAGAAAATGGGAGAGGAACCTAGGTGGTGACAATGAACTGACTAATGTAATCAAGGCTGATGAATTGTGTTAAGGTTTTATTTAGTTTTTATAGTAGGAATTGAACCTGTGGAGCACTGAGCTACATTCTTAGCATCTTTTTTTCTTTGGTGGTCACAGTGGGGTTGTGCAGAGGATAGGGTCTTTTTTTTAATATTTATGTATTTATTTATTTATTTATCTATTGTGTGGCCAGCTCAGCCCACTAGGGGGCGGGCGGGCATGTGGTGCTGGGGGATTGAACCCAGGTCTCTGTGCTTTGCTTGAGCTTGGCTTGTTCTAAGTAGGTGCTTTAGACCACTGAGCCATCTCACCAGCCCGAGGATAGGGTCTTGCTGTGCATTCCAGGATGGCACCAAACTCACTATGCAGCCCAGTCCACTTCTTTTTATTTTATTTTGAGACAGTCTTACTAAGTTTCCCATGCTAGGCTCAGACTTTCAATCCGGCCTCAGCCTCCTGAGATTGCATTATGGATGTGTGTGTGTCACTGGACCTGGAGAGAGTCTTTTTTTTTTTTTCTATCTGAGAATGCCTTCAGGGCAGGTTTGGTTGGTGTGAGTTCTGGGGATTGAACCACAGCATCCTGAGCCTGACTGCTTTGCTTAAGCAGGCACTTAAAACAACTGAGCTAATGGGCAGGCCACCGAGCCAGCATTCTATTTTTAATGCTTGCCTATTTTCTAGAAGGTCTGTGAAACTACCCAAAAAGGACTCTGAAAAATGGTGGAGAAAGTGGAATAGAGAAAAACATCTAAATTTCCTAAGAGATTGTCCCCTTTTCAAGACATTCTCATTTTTTAACTACTATTATTTATGGTTGTTTGTTTTTTGTATTTAGCACAGGGTCTACAGGGTCTACGCGGTCTCACTATGTAGACTGGACTCATAGTGATCTTCCTGTTTACAGCCTCCCAAGTGCTAGGACTACAGGGGCGCACCACCACACCCAGTCTCAATGGCTGTCTCAGTATACTCCAGGGGCGGGGCCAGCATATTTATGGTCTTTTTGAGGCAGGGTTTCACTGCACAGTTCAGGCTGGCCTCAAACTCACAGAAACACTGAGTTATTTTATAACCTACTTTCTTTTATCATTTCTTTAAGTATGGGCTATAGGTAATTACTTTCCCAAAGATTTCTTGGATGAAGCCAGCAAGATAGCATGGTGGACTTAGTGCCTGCTTAGGTAAGCCGCAGGGACCAGGGTTCCATCCCTGGTACCACATGCCATACCACCCCTACCCCTGGGGTGTGCTCAGCTGTCCATGGAAACCAGGTGTGGTGGTGCATGCATGTAATCCAAGTGCTGAGGAGGCTTAAAACAGGAAGATCACTGCAAGTCTGAGATGCATAGTGAGACCCTATACCATACAAAATACAAATACACTAACACACACACCCAAGATTTCTTATATAAATAGTAATTTCTCCCACCAAAATCCATTTGAGGAAAAAATAAAGTTGAGTGAGAACAGAGAAATTCTTTCAGTGCTACGGAAAAAACAAATTGTTTTTTGCTTTTTGTGGGTTTTTTGAGCCTCCCAAGTGCTGGATTACAGGTGTGGAGTGCCACACCTAGCCAAAACCCGAGTTTAAGCTTCTGTTCCTTTCTCTTAACCTCAGTCTTTATGCTATTTTTATTTTGTTTTGAAATAGTTCAGGCTAGCCTCAAATTCATGGTGATCCAGAGCTTCCTGAGTGCTGAGATTACAGGGGCAGTGCCATCAGAAATAATCAAATGCAAATCAGAAAAATAGGATAATACAGGAGGAAGAAAAACAACCTAGGCCTCCAGGTACAGAAGCCTATAGAGATCCTATGGGAGGTAACTCCTTGGATCTAGGAACAACAATTGGTAAAACCAAACCCACAGAGGTAGCTGGGAAGTAGAAACCAGAATTCTTACCTGTTCCTGCTGTAGGGCTTTCACAAAAGCATTTTTCAGCCGGTTGGTGTGTTCAGCTTTCAGAGCCTTTTTCTGGTTGGAGGTCATACACTGTTCACACAGGATCTTACCATTCTTCTCTTGTTTCCAGTGAGGGGTGAAATCTGTGCGGCACTGGGCACATACAAAAGGTTCAACTCGCAGGAGTGAGGCACAGCTTTTGCCTACATGCCAACAGAAAGAATTATCAGTGGCTTCACATTTCCTATCTCTTCTGTTTTTTTTTTTTTTTTTCATTAAATAGAACTTTTCCAGGGGGTTTCCCTCCTGATTTAAGGAACTCCTATAAAAACAAACCCTTCTATTATTAAAAAAATATTTTTATTTCACTTGACAATCAGTTACATCAAATAAACTATAAATCGCCTTTAAGTGACAAGCTAAAACAAGAAGCCGTGTTTTACTTCCTACTATATCACAATGAGAGAATACTGGGACAACTCAGAATCAAAGGACTACATGTAACTCAATTAGTACCGGTGCTTCTTAGCATATGCTTACCTTATACCACTCTTCTTTTTTTTTTTTAAGAGACAGTCTTACTATGTAGCATTGAACTACCCGGAATCTTCCTGCCTTAGCCTCCCAAGTTCATGGATTACAGCTATGAGGCCTCACGCCCAACTTTTTATTCCTTTTATATACAACTTTTGGTTATCAACTTGTAACTTTGTGATCTTTTATAGCCCATAGCAAGTCTTCTAAGTACTTCCCTCCACTTAATATCTTTCTTTAAACTGTATGGTATTAATAGTCTGGTTTAGTATATTATAGCAATAAAATGTGATCATTTTTAGCTATAGGTATCAGCATGTGTAGTTTCTCAAAAAAAAAAAAAAAAAGCGCATATGCAGTTCTCAATTCTAAGCACTCAAACGGCAAGAACTGAATATAATAATTCAACACAGCTAAGCATGATGGTACACACCTTTAATCCCACCACTTGGGAGGCTAAGATGGTAGGACCTCTGAGTTCAAGGCCAGCCTGAATTACATAGTGAGAGCCCTGTCTCAAAACATACCACTCCCACCACTGCTAGTTTTTTTTTTTCACAAGTTTTATTCATCAAATTATATATGCAAAAAAATTATATATGCATCAGCCTAGGCACCTTTTATGAGCTTTAATGTGGTGCTAAGAATTGAACCTAGGGCCTTGAGTATATAGGAATGCTTTTTTTTTTAACCACCGAGCTACATTCCCAGTTCAGCTAGGCATTTAAAAGAACTAAACAACATATTGAAAAAATATACAAAACACACACACAGTTTTTCTCTCCCTATCACAGACCCAGTACTGGGGACTGAACCCAGTGAACGCTAAACTACATCCCCAGTCCATTTCACTTTTTTGTGATAGTGTTTTGCTAAACTGACCTCAACATTATGATTCTCCTGCCTCAGACTCTCAAATAAATGGGATTATAGGTATGTAATGCTATGCCTGATTAGAAATAAGCGCTGTAATACTGAGAGGTTAGGGGCCGGGGAGATGGCTCAGTAGAATAAGTGCTTGCCTGGCAAGCACAAGGGCCTGAGTTCAAACCCTGGTTCCCTGCAAAAAAACAACAAAAACAACAACAAAATAAACTGAGAGGTTACTTAATGCCATGTTGTACCCTGTGATACTTTGTCCGTATCAATCACACCTTGAGTCTTATCAAACCAGGCAGTGGTGACACGCCTATAATCCCAGCACTCAGGAGGTTGAGGTAGGAGGACTGCAGCAGGTTTGTGGGCAGTGTGAACTACAACCCCCCTGCCCAACAACTGATCTTACCTTGGCTGTCAATGACACTCTGCACGACCTCTTCCAAGCCTACCATGTAGATGAACTCGCTATTAGCGGCACTGGGGAGAAAGTGAAGCAAAGGAGCAGGAGGCTTTGGAGGTGGGATCTCCAGGAGCGTCTTTTCCAGCTGCTTGCGAAGAGCCAATTTGGCTGCAGCCTGTGAATTGGCAGCATCAGTCATGGCGCTGGGGCTAGGGAGTGGTGAGGACACTCTGTTCACGGTCCCTGGCTGGATATGGGAGGCGAGGTTCATGTAGATGGCAGATGATGATGTGCGCTGACAAGGAACGGAAGAACTTGACTGCTGAAACAGATTGAGGATAGGTATCAGTCATAGTTGACCTGTGGGAAAAGACCAATTCTTGTTTTTTAGTGGAGAATACTATCTGATCCTAATCTGGACTACTCCGTTTCCACAAAATAGGGTGTATCCAACTTGTTCACTGAAAAGAAAATTCTTTTTTTTTTTTGTATCAGGGATCAAACTCAGTTACCTTGCACTTGCCAGGCAGGTGCTTAAGCCGCTGAGCTATCTCCCTAGCCCTTGAAAGAGAATTCTGGCACATAGTAAAAAAGAAATGAGATGGAACTGCTGAGAAGGGAAAAGAAAAAAGAAAAAAACAGAAACAAAAACAAAAGCAAAAACCAACCCAACCCAAACTATCTGTCATAAATCCTTATGGGGAATGCTCTCTATTCAGGCTCCATCCAACTTGGGTGTAGTGTCACAGGCTTGTAACCCCACCACTTTGGAGGCTCAGGAAGAACAACAGCAAGAACTCTTCTCAAAAACAAAAACCAAAACAGAAAATAAAAAACTAAAAAGTCTAGCTGGGTGCGATGGCACATGTCTATAATCCTAGCACTCAAGACTGAGAGAAAAGGATTGTTGTGAGTTTGAGGCCAGCCTCAGCTATACAGTGAGCTGAAGGACTACATAGTGAGACTTTATTATCTCCAAAAAACCATAACCAAACCAAACTAAATCACAAACAAAAACATCTCCCCCCAAAACAGTAACAAAACTCCACCCAAATCATCCATATTGTCCTAGTTCCTCTACGTACAAAAAAATAAAAACCTCTGGCCCTTTTCCACATGAGAGATTTTTCTTACTGGTTGGTAATTGATGGCAGGATTCATGTTGGGTGTTGTGGTGCGTACAAGGCCAGGCTTAGGTGGTCCCCGCTGACCCTGCAGTTGGGCTGGATTTGGTGCAATAACACGCTGAGACATCAACATGTGTGGGAGGGTGGTACTGGTTGCTGAACGAATGACACTGTGACCCTGAAGAGGAAACAAAGGGAAAAAGCTAGTCACTAGTGGTATGCTATATAAAATGCAAAAAGGAAAACACTGCCTTTTATAATTAATGCATGACTAAGGAGACACTAGAACACACTCAGACTCTGTCATGTCATTTTGTCTAATGAGCTATAAGATTAATCTACCATCACTCTAAATGTTGATTAGCAGCTAGTAAGTCCCTGGCCTTTTTGGTATATGCCAGTGGTGGTGTACCTACAGATGTATGTGACAGCTCACTGTCATCACTGAAAACTCTATAAAGACTGGCCATCATTGGTATAAGATAACCCTCTCTAGAGAATCTTGAAATCTTCTCTAGAGAAAAAGAATTATAGTGAGACAATGAAGGTTATTAATTTTTCTATTGAAGACTAAATCATGCCATGAAGGACCAGTAAAAGCACCTTTGTCATTGCTAGGTTCTCCTACAAAAGCCCCCGAACAGACACAGGATAGACATGGCCCTTGTACATTATAATCCTAGTATGGGTTACATACCTGTAATGTTCTCAAATTTTGAGGCTCAACCCCCTGGGCTCCAGGCCGGGAGGGAAGTTTAGATAAACCCTGCTGTCCCACATGGGCAGGAGACGGCTGAACAATAGATGCTGCATTCTGTACAACTGGAGTCTGGGAGAAGGAAGAGAAAATTAGACTAGAAAAAGCAATTATTCAAAAGTGGACTTTAATACATCCCTAAACTTAAATTTTCTTGTCAGTGTGCATCTCCAGTTGCCTAGGACAAAAAAGTAGAAAAATGGGATTAAAGTATTATTTTTTTTAAAGGTATTCTTCATTAACCAGCCTGGGCTACAAAGTGAGCTCAAGAGCAGCCTGAACTGTATAGTAAGACCCAAAAAGGAAGTCTCAAAAAGAAAAAAAAAGCATTCTTGACTAAAGCCTAAGATAGAAGAGGGGAAAAAAATTAGCCTTAGCATGGTGGTGCACACCTGTAATCCCAGAACTTGGGAGGCTAAAGCAGGAAGATTGCCGAGAGTCCCAAAACCAGCCTGGACTACACAGCAAAACTCTGTCTCAACCAAAAACACAAACAAAACAAAAAGAGCTCCTCCCCAAAAAATAAAAACAAAACAACTCCCCTCAACCCCAAGCCCACTATTTTATTTATTATTTTTTATATATTTAGTACACAGATTGGACTCGTAGTCATCCTCCTTTTTTCAGCCTCCCAAGAGCTGGGATTACAGGTCTGTGCCACCATGCCCAGTCTCAATGTCTCAGCAAGCCCTGGGGGCAGGGCTGGCACGGGCATGCCGGGGATCAAACCCCAGTCCCTGTGTCTACCTAAGCAGGCACTTTAATCCACTGAACTGTCTGTCTGGCCTACCACTACTTAAAAAAAAAAACTGGAACCAGAGAAAAATAAGCCATAAAGCAGAATCTACCTGAGACAGTCACTCTAAAACAAGTTTTATTTCTTTTCTCTTAGCCTTTTATTTCTGTAGTGTATTACCTTTTGGACCACATTCTCCTTTTGCAGCTGACTCTGTCTCAGTTTCTTTAATAGCACCAATCGAGCCTCTTCCAACCGTAACTCATCCCTCAGCTGCTTGATAAGCTGCTGTCGTTCTTCAATGCCTTTCCCCTAAGGAAACATGGAGACCATCAGGTACAGGGCAGCACATACCCAGAGTCTTTTGCTGAGAGAGAGAGAGAGCATCTGTACTTTTTAAGTTTAAACCTTCAACATCTATAAGAAATCACACAGTGCCCGGCATTCAACAAGTACTCAAGTGCTTATCAAGTGAAGAGAACACATACAAACACTACTCAGTGAGATTTCTGGTGAAACAGAATGACCAAATCTTTTTTTTTTTTGGGGGGGGGAGATTTTTTGAGACAAGGTGCAGTTCAGGCTGGCCTTGAGCTCTCTTTATAGCCCAGACTAGTTTCAAACTTGAAATGATCCTCTTGCTTTAGCCCCGAGTGCCAGGATTATAGACGTGTGCTACCAAGGCTGGTTAGAATGAATGAATCTTTATAAGCCACATTTTGGGTGTGTGTGTTATACGGAGTCCACCAAAAATGCACACGTGTCAGGAAAAATAGTATGTCCTTTTTCCAACAGATGGTGTTTCCTCTATATGGGGAACCCTAGAAGATATGTATCATGGAAAACCCAACATGCTGCATGACCTTAGAGAATAAGCTAAAAATATACACACAACAATCTCAATGACTGAGATTACCCAAGTAGCAGTTTACCATACTAACGTGTCTAAAAGCTAAAGACCACCACTTTGAACATCTCTGTAGAGGTCAAAAATAATTTGCATTAATCTCAGGACTTCCTAGGGAATTTAGTATTAAAATCATTACACAAGATTTTCCTTTCCTAAAGAGTATACATGTTTGGTGGATTCTGTGTGCATACACATATAAAAAAATCTATCTATCTATCTATCTATCTATCTATCTATCTATCTATCTATCCTTTTTTTTTTTTTTTTTTTGTGGAACTGGGAATTGAACTCAGGCCTATAAGCTTGCCAGGCAAGCGCTTATTCTACTGAGCTCTCTCCCGGCCCCAAGAATCTAAATTCTGAGGCAAGAGTTACAGGGTATCCTTGCAGTTAAGAGTTTATTTTATGTGATATGAGCTGTGAGGGTGTATAATTAGACTGAACATTCCTGCTTTAGATATGCATTTTGTTGTTCTGGTTGTTTTTTAACACAGGGTCTCATGATGTAACTTAGGTTGGCTTCAATTTACATGCCTCTAGCTTGCTGGGATTACATGTACCATCACACTTGGCTTCTCAATATATGGTACGAATTTTTTTTTGGCGGGGGGTGAGGGGGATTCAGAGTCTTGCTATGTAGTTCAGGCTGGTCTTGAATTTACTATGTAGCCCAGCTTGGCCTAGAACTTGTAGCAATCCTCTTGCCTCAGTCTCCCCAGTGCTGAGATTATAGACATGCACCACCATACACAGCCCTATATGTAATTTTTTTTTCTTTTGAGACAGAATTTCATTATGTAGTTCAGGCTGGCCTTGAACTCACTTTGTAGTCCAGGCTGGCTTCGAATTCAGAGATCCTCCTGCCTCATCCTTCCGAGTGCTAAGATTACAGGTGTGAGCCACCACATCTGGCTAAAAGCCAACCTTTAAAAAAAAAGGGCATGGCTTGGATGGGGAGATAGCTTGGCGGTCTAAGTTCCTGCCTGGCAAGGGCAAGGACCCGGGTTTGATTCCCGGTACCTCATGCTATATGCAGCCGCTGCAACTGGACATGGTGGCACACACCTGTCATACCAGTGCTGGGGAGGCTGAGACAGGAGGATCACTATGAGTCTGAGCTGTGTAGTGAGACCCTGTACCAAATAAATAAATAAAATTAAAAGGGCATGGCTTTGAAATGGAAAATCATTGAAGGTAGTTACAAAAAATAGTTAAAAAAAAAAAAAAAAAAAAAAAAGCAGTGGGGCTGGGAAGAAAAGAAAACAGAAAGAACATAAATGAAGGTGTTTACCTTGAACATCTCCAGATTGGCTGCTTTCAGTCTTTCTTCCATTCGGGAGCTGGAACGGGGACTGGAAGCCTCATTGTCAGACAAAACAATGATATCTGGGGAAGGAGTTAGCCTTCCTCGATCTGGCTCACTAGATAAGAAAAAGAAAAATTACTATTTCCGATACTAAAGCTCATTAAAAAAAATTTTTTTTTGTCTTTTTAAGACTGTTTCACTACACAGTTCAGATTGGCCTTGAATTCACTTTGTAGCCAAGACTGGCCTTGAATTTCTCCCTTAGCCTCCTGAGTGCTGGAAGTATAGTTATGCACTAGCATACCTGACCTTTTTTTTTTTTTCTCCCCTGTACTGACAAGGAAATGAAGTGACTTTAGGTCTGTTTTGATTTACCCAGGGAAAGACAAACACTCAAGTCTTATGATGTAGATGACACCAAGATCTGATAGCAAAATCTCAGCAAGATACTTTCCTTCCCTAAAGTCCTTACAAAGCAAACAGGTATAAATACACAAAATAATGATTAGCTTTAGGAATAAAGAGATGAGTGTTCTTATAACAGATTTTTATATCTTCACTGGGCTCTCATTAGTTATGTAGAGGTTTGGAAAGGAAATAAATAGTTCTGTGTGAGAAAGGGCAAAGGCAGTAGAGCTTAGTTATCCACTAAGAGGCAGCTAATTATAATAATATGGTTCTCGTGAGGTGTGGTGATGGTACATGCCTGTAATGCCAGCACTTGCAGACTGAGGCAGGAGGCTCAGTCTAGACTATACAGTGAGACTCTGTATCAAAAAACAAAACAAAACAAAAAAACCAAAAAACAACATATTGGCTAACTAAGAATTTTTAAGAAAGGAAATTATGTGGGGCTGGGAGTTAGCTCAATAGAATAAGCACTTGTCTGGCAAGCTCAAGGTCCTGAGTTCAATCCCCGGTATGGGGGAAAAAAAAAAGGAAACTATGTGACAACTGCTATGATAGTCTAGCCTAGACTATCTAAAGAATAGCAGCCAAAAGCAAGTACTGTTAAGTGATTTTAAGAAATAGACACTGCAAGCTACAGCCTTCTGGAGAAAAACTAAGCCTCCAAAAGTAAATATACTTGAAGTCCTATCAATTTGCCAGAGTGCTGAGGTTTTATTTTGTTTTTGGCAGTAATAAGGATTGAACCCGAGGGGCTGGTGAGATGGCTCAGTGGTCTAAAGCACCTACTTAGAACAAGCTTAACAAAACACAGGGACGGCGGTTCAATCCCCCAGCACCACATGCCAGCCCGCCCCGCCCCCTGGTGGGCTGAACTGGCCACACACACACACACACATATAAATAAATAAAGTCAAAAAAAAAAAAGGATTGAACCCGAGATCTCACACCAAACTATATACTTAGCCCTTGTAATTTTTTTATTCTGAGGGTCTCATGAAGTTGCCCAGGCTTAGGCTTGAAATTTTTATCTTCTTGCCTTAGCATTATGAGGAGCTACAATTATAGATATATACCACCATGCTTGGTAACTCACCAGAGTTTAACTTGTATTTTTCCCTCAAAAGACACGCTCAGAAATTATTTTGACATTTGCCAGATGTGGTGGTGCATGCCTGTAATCCCAGAACTCAGGAGGCTACACAGTGAGTAAAAGGCCAGGCTGGGCTCTTGGCAGTCATAACAGAGAAATTACTTTCACACATCTGAATCTCCCACTATGACTACTCTTATTTCCTATTTATTAGACCACCTTTATTTTTTTATTTCTCAGTCTAGGTTTGTTTCTGTAATGTAAGTGAATCCTAGAAACTGTCTTAGGTTCCCAAATCAATAATTATTTCGTATCTCTCCTCTGAATTTTTGTTTGTTTTTTTTTTTTTTTGAGATAGTGTTTCTCTGTAATCTAGACTGGCCTGAAACTTGTCATGATCCTCTTGCCTAAGCCTCCAGAGTATTGGGGTTATATGTGCCACCACACATGGCTATTTTGTGTTTTGTGTCCAAGCTAGCCTAGAACTTGTGGTATTTCTTCTGCCTTAAACTCTCGAGTACTGGAGTTATAAAGAGTGAGCTCAGTGATTTCAAAGCTACTTTCCCAGCTCCCCCCCCCCCATACTGTAGGCTCAAAGGTCTAGGGCAGTATTTTTAAAAATCTTCCTTGAATGTATAAAAATTTTAATGTTTACTGATTATGACTCACAAAGAGCTTATCTAACATTTCTCAAATTTCTTATCTCAGTTGCTTCTGGCATGCAGAGGTTTTTCTTTTTTTTTTTGCGGAACTGGGGATTGAACTCTGGCCCTTGCGCTTACCAGGGAAGTGCTTATTCCAGAGTCATCTCCCCGGCCCTTTCCTAACATTTTTAATGGTGCTGAGGAGGAATCCAGGGCTTCATGCAGGCAAGGAAAGTACTCTACCAAAGAGCTAAACCCTCAACCCATGGAAATCTTTTGATCAAGGCATCCTTGATGTTTAGGATTGGAATTTAAATAGTCAAGGTAAATCTGAATTACTAAAACCACCCAAGTTGAGCTGAGGAAATAGAAAAAGGGGAATGACTATCCATCCTGTGAACTATTAAGTTTGTCCAGATACAGCAAATCAAGAATGTGCAGTTATACAAAAAGAAGCCACTAGAGGGAGAAGAGAACCTTTTATTCTGTAACCCTAAATTCCTGGGATAACAGTCAAATCTAAACAAAGTGCTTAAATTCATTTTTGTGTGATTTATTTATTTGTATACATATTCTTTCTTACCCTCACCTGTAAGATTAACATAGGTGAACAATTTTAAGGTCTAGAAAGTTTTCCATTCTCTCCTTGACTCACCTTGTTTGCATTATTAGTTACAGCCCCCACCCTCACCGTCTTTTTGAGACAGGACCTCACCATGTTACCCAAGCTAGTATCAAATTGCTAAAAATCAGACAGTCCTCTAGTCTGAAGTTCTGGAGCAGCTGGGACTATAAGCATATACCAATGTACCCAGTCAGAAGATTTTAAAACTCTAGTCCTGGATTACACATATTACAGAAGACTGTTTCTAAGGTAATAATCTTCCATGTTTAAATTAGTGCCATCTCCTACTCAGGAAATGCTTAGTACCAAGAAGGACAGAGACATTTGAGGTGGAGATTTCGGAACTGTGTGACATCAGGAAGCTTCAAGGGAAAATAATTCTAAATATTTTAGGGCTGGGGATACAGTTCATTAGCACAGTGCCTGCTTGGCAAGCACAAGGTCCTGAGTTCAATTCCAGGTACAAAAAAAAAGCCATTTTGTTCCCAGATACACTCAGACTCACACTGGACAGGCAAGTTGAAAGTGTTAAGTCAAGTCCTGCTCAACATTCTTTTTTTTTTTGAACCAGGAATCAAATTCATGACCTCATACTTGCTAGCCAGGTGCCGTGTCACTGAGCTATATATATATCCTTGGCCCAATATTCTTTTATTTAAACTTGACCAGGAATGAAAAACATTCCAGAGACATAAGTTACTCTGCTCCTTTCCCAAATATATATGATTTACAGTATTTGGGGTTAAAAAGCATGAAATCTTTATTAGAGACTTTATTTAAAAATTTTTTTTTTGGTTTTTGATGCCAAGAACTGAACCCAGGGCTTCCAGCTTGCTAGGCAAGCATTCTACCACTGAGCCAAATCCCCAGCCCCTATTAGAGACTATTAAAAGCCCAATTTGCAGTTGAAAATGCTTGCAACTTAGTCTGACACATTCCTAGAAGTTGTCATATTTTGAGACTATATTCCAGTAGTAAAAACAACTGAACAGAAGGATTCTGGTTTTTTTTTTTTTTTTTTTTTTTTGGGGGGGGGTGCTGACTCAGTCTGCCTTTAGTGTGGATCTAGTAAGGCAGGTGGAGGTGGGGTTCAAACCACGGTATCCTGCACCTGACTACATTTGCATGAGCAGGCACTTAAACAACTGAGCTAACCAGCAGGCCCCCCAAAATTAAGGATTAAAAAAAAAAAAAAAAAAAAAACTGAACAGAAAGAAGTGCTCTGTTTCTCTAGTATTTCAAGTTATGAGGATTGGTTTCATAAATACTTGTATCACAGGTACTATAACTGATATTTAGGCAATTATGACAATACTTCTCATGCTAAAAACTCTATTTTTGTCTGAGACAGAGTCTCACTATGCAGTTCAAGCTGGCCTTGAGCTCATCTTGTAGCCCAGGCTGGTCTTGAACTTGCAACAATCCTTCTGCCTCAGCCTCCTGTGTTAGGACTACAGGCACACACCACTATACATAGCTTCTGTCTTCTGCTTCCAACTTTTTCTTCTTTTATGAATTTAGGACAGGGTCTACAGAGTGTACAGGGTCTTATTGTATAGATCAGACTCATAGTGATTCTCCTCTTTACAGCCTCCCAAGTGCTGGGATTACAGGCGGGCAGCACCACACCCAGTCTCAATTGGGGCTCAGCGTGCCCCAGGGGCAGGGTGGGCACGGCATTCTGAGGTTGGTTCCCTGGCTGATGTTGCTCTGTCGAAGCAGGCACTTTAGTCTGCTGAGCTATCTGGCCAGCCTGCTTCCAACATTTTTCTTTCTCTTCTTTGGTACTGGGAATCAAACTTACAACCTTGCACTTCTCAAGCAGGTACTGTATTGTTGAGCTATCTCCCCAGTAGGGGGTCTACTTAGTAGGAGCCTACTAATCTTGTTCATTCTTATTATAAAACAACTTGGTTTTAAGTGGTAATAGGTGGGAGCAACCTGGAGCCCTGGCTTCCAGAGGCTTGTGTTTCAAAACTGCCTGCATCAACCCCAAATATAATTAAGCACACTGAGTGGGATTCAGGACAGTCTGCATTATTTGGTACACAGTGCTGTGGCTCAAATATAGGGCCTGTCATAGGTTAAGCAAGCACTTTAAAACTGAGCAACCCCACCTCTCTTTTTAAATCACAACATACCATAACACAACTTAATTCCTATAGCATAAGGGTCTTACCAGAATGTCTAATAATGCACCTATGAAAGATAAATTCATTTACAGTCCAATTTTCCCTTTTCTTCCTTCCTCCAAAATGTAGGCTCTGTAGCCTGCTCCAGAAAGGCAAGGATGACCATGGGATTAATGCTCAGATGCATTATCTCAATCACCTAATTTTCTTCCAATGGATCTCAGAATCAATCTATTAATCTATTAATAAACCTAGAATTTATATAACATTTTGCTGATAACTACCTAAAGCATCAAAGAATTTTTATTTTCTTCTAGGACCACTATGGAATTTATTTGAAGTTTATTCTACTTTTTAGAAAGACAGGATCTTGGGCTGACCAGATAGCTCAGTGGATTAAAACGCTTGCTTAGGCAGATGCAGGGACCAGGGGCTTGCTGAGACAGCGACTGAGACTGGGCATGGTGATGCCCAAGCATAATCTCAGTGCTTGGGAGGCTGAAAACAGGAGGATCACTATGAGTTGATCTGTGTAGAGAGACCCTGTACTAAATACATTAAAATAAATAAATAAATAAAAGAAGACGACAGACAGGATCTTGGGATGGGCATGTGGCTCAGTGGTAGTGTTCTTGCCTTGAACGCACAAGGCCCTGGGTTCTATCCTCAGTGCCACATACACTCCCTTTCTGTCTCCATTAGTCCAGCTTCTTAATTATACTGCTTTGGATCAGTTCTAGGACAAAGTAAGATCGGCCATTAGACAAGCAAATACTGCAATTCTTAGGCTTCTCAGTTGTTTCTGAACGATCACTAAACTGAATGTTCTTCAAACTAAGATTTTCTTTTTCTATTTATGTATTTGGTACAGGGTCTTACTACGTAGCTCAGACTCACAGTGATCTTCCTGTTTTCAGCATCCCCAGGGCTGGGATTACTGGAGTGCTGTGTGCCCCAGGGGTGGGGCTGGTGAGGCATGTGGGACTGGGAATCAAATCCTGGTCCCTGTGCATGCCAAAGCAGGTGCTTAGTGTGCTGAGTTACCCTGCCCATCCCAAATTAAGATTTTCTATACTATGATTCACTGATCAACCTCTCTACCCTCAATCAGTTTTTTAAGTAAAGTGCTTGAAATTGATAGATACTTTAAAAGGGCTTGAGAAAATGTGCATGTGTGAATATGATCAGTATATACATTACAAGGGTTGGTGGAAATAGCATGGAGAAAGCAAGAAATCAGAGACTTACCACATCAAGATATTCTAATACAATAAAAGGTTAGGCTAATTCTCTTTTGATGTAATAAAAAACTGAGACTCCATAATAAATAGCTCCTAAAATGCCTGGGATGATTTGAAGGAAAGGTTATATTTCCTCTCCTAAGTATGATAGGTCTGAAATTTAGAATAAAGGTACATGCTAATTGAACTACTTGTCCTCTAGTGCCCCCCTTTTCCAGCAATGACCATCTTAAGGGAAGATACTATAATTTTCAGTATACTAAGCAAATAGAAGGTATATAGTTTCATTTGGAAAGATGAATTCATTGTTAAGCCAGATGATACAGACACTTCTTCAAGAAGCTTTAGGTTGAAAAACACCCTCCTCTCACTGGAATTAGTTAACACAGGCTTAGTCTATGAGAAGACACTATCCTTGGAGGCAATCAACATGAGCCATACCTCCGTCGAGCACTCATATCCACTGGCTCATCATTGATGTTTTCTTTGCCTGGCCTTCCAGCAGTCCTGTTGTCTCCATGAGGCCTGAGATTCCCATTGAGTTTCTCTTCATAACCTTTGACACCACTGCCATCCTGTTTGGTGGGTAACTCGTGTGGCACCTCAAGATTCGCTAAGTCCTTTCTTTTGAGCAGTGCCAACATTTTTAGACGTTCCATGGCCTCATGTCCTTCCATTTTGAGTCGTTTTGCCAGCACATCATCTCGCTCATCTGCTGGGTCCAAGCTCCTTTTTAATAGGTTCAGACGAAGAGCATCTTCTGTCATTCTATCCATCCTACAGGAAGAGTAACATAAATGGAATCAGAACTTTAAAAGTCCATAGGAAAGATAGGACAGTGATAAAGTTATTAAGAAGAAGAATGTAGCTGGGCTTATGGTGGTACACACCTGTAATCCCAGCACTCAAGAGGCTGAGCCAGGAAGGTAACTGAGTTTGCAGCCAGCCTGAGCTAAATACAGTAGTATCTCGGTTCAGGAATGCTTTATTTGCAAACTATTTGGTTTGCAAACAGAGGAGTGTGGTAAAATTTTGTTTTTGTTTGTAAAAAATGTGCACTTGGTTAAGAACACAATTGGCGTCTTTTCCAGAATCTCAAGAAGAACTGTTTGTGAACAAGGGTGCCACTATAGTTAGTTTGAGGACATGCTGTACTACATATAGAGATCCTGTCTTTAAAAAAAAAAAAAAAGCTCCTTTCCAACTTGGGCCCGGCAGAATGGCTCCTGCAAAGAAGGGTGGTGAGAAGAAGGGCTGTTCTGCCATCAACAAGGTGGTGACCCAAAAATACACAATCAACATTCACAAGCGCATCCATGGAGAGGGCTTCAAGAAGCATGCCCCTTGGGCACTTGAGGAGATCCAGAAGTTTGCCATTAAGGAAATGGGGACTCCAGATGTGCACATCGACACCAGGCTCAACAAAGCTATCTGGGCCAAAGGAATAAGGAATGTTCCATATCGTATTTGGGTATGGTAGTCCAGGAAACGGAATGAAGATGAAGATTCACTAACAAGCTGTATACCATGGTAACCTACATCCTGGTACCATGTTCAAAAATCTTCAGACAGTGAATGTGGACAAGAACTAACTTGGAAATAATGTTATAGAACTGCCAAAGGAAAAAGAAAAAAAAAGTGCTGGGGAGAGAGTACAATGGTCTATGCACCTGCGTGGCAAGCATAAAGACCCGGGTTCAATCCCTGGTCCCGCATGCTGGGCACACCATACCAGCCACCAAAACCAGGCATGATGGTGCATACCTGTAATCCCAGCACTAGGGAGGCTGAGACAGGAGGATCACTATGAGTCTGAGCTATGTAGCGAGACCAAATAAACATATAAGAAAATAAATAAATGATTTTTAAAAATATTAACCTCCCCAAAATAAAAACTATCCTTTTATTACCCCCACAAGGTTAACTGAGCAAACCTCCCAAACTTTACTGTTCTAGAACATTTCTATTAAAGTAGATTTATCCAGTCAACCTCAACAATAAAAGTAAACTTCAAATACATTCCAGTCATCAATGCTATATCCCACAAAACAACAACACACTCAAAGTGACTGTATATGCAGGCTCAAAGTCAAATGCTTCTGGGTTTAGCTTTCATATCAAATCCTTCTCCTGGGAAAGACTTTTGTGACTGGGAAGTTCCTACGTCATCCAAGCATATCTTATGAGTGGAGAAATACATGACAAACCAGAAGGGCACTTAACAGGAAGCCTCAGTTGTCTAGACATTGCAGAAGAGCTTCTTACCTGCCCTTAATTCTATAGACACAGATTAAAAATCTCATGATCTGTGGTTATTCTTAATGGAGAACTGATGGGGTTTATTCTGATAAGAATATTTTCTCAACTCATGAAGTAAAACTACTGAAGGCAAATTAATTATTTTCCTTTTTTAAAAAACACTAGTAAAATCTAAATGCAAATTTGGATTTTTCTGTAACACCTTCAAATCTGGGGCTATTGACCTGATAAAAACAGTAATGATGAACAACAAAAACTTTCTGAGTAATAATAACACAGGTTCTTAACTGCTGTTACTTTTACCACAAATATTTAATAAGTCATTTTACCTCTTCAAATTGCAATTTCACCTATAAATATGAGGTGCTAAAAGATGCTCAACAACTGTCTCATTGCTGTTTATCAATAAAACTTTGAAGAAAAAAAAAAAAAAAGATGCTCAACAATTAGGGGCCAGGACTGGGGATATAGCTCAGTAGCTTAAGTGACTGACTGACAAGCATAAGGTCCTGAGTTCGATCCCCAGCACTGAAAAAACAAAACAAAACAAAACAAAACAAAACACAACAGTTAGGGGCCAGGGAGATGACTCAGTGGAATAAGCACTTCCCTGGCAAGCACAAAGGTCTGAGTTCAATTCCTGGTTCCAAAAAAAAGCTCAACAAAATTAAATTTCTATAAGCTAGGTCCATGACTTTAAAGTATAAATCATCTATTTATTTGGTACAGGGTCTCACTACATAGGTCAGACTCATAGTGATGCTCCTGTCTCAGGCTCCCCAGCACTGGGATTACAGCTCTGTGCCACCCCACCTGGTTCTGGTGGCCAGCTTGGTGCGGTGCCAGCACAGCATGTAGTACCAGGGACTGAACCCAAGTCCTTGTGCTTGTCAGGCAGGCACTTAAGACTTCTGAGCTCTCACCCCAGCCCCTAAAGATGAAATTAGGTTCAGTAACTCAGAGTTAAGTGATAAGAGAGAAAAAGACTATCAATATTAATTGGTTCTCTTACAAAGGAAACTATGCATGTGCTTAAGGTATTATCAAAATAAGGGATATCTTTTTTTTTTTTCCTGGTTATAATGGGAAGAAAAAGTAAGCAAAATAATTTCTAACAAAAGGGAACATATTTTCAGACACCAAAGTCAGAACCCCACTCTGAATTTGTGGGTAATGTTTCTTTTTTTCTTCCTGTATTTTTTTTAGGGAAGGGTCTACAGGGTGTTCAGGGTCTCACTACTAGTGATAGTAGATCAGACTGGTAGTGATTCTCCTGTTTACAGCTTCCTAAGTGGTGGGATTACAGACAGGCACCACCATGCTTCAATCACAGTCTCAGTGTGCCCCAGGGGTGGGGTTGGCACACAGGCCAGGGGATTGACCACCACCCCACCCCCACCCCACCCCTGTGCCTGCCTGCAGGTGCTTTAATCTGCTAAGCTATTTGGCTGGCCCTCTTTTTTCTAAGAACAGATTTACTTAGATGTCATACACTTACTATACAATTTACCTAGAATATATAATTTGGGGGCTAGAGATGTGACTCAAGTGGTAGAGCACTTGCATAGCATACAGGAGGCCTTGGGTTTGCTCTCTAGTGAGCACAAACAAGTGTGTACATGCACACATGAAAGATTTAAAGAGTATGATTCAGGGTATATTGGGGAAGGGGAGGGCAGGGCAGGGAGAAAGGAGTTGGAAATCATCAAGACATGTTATGTGCATGTACCAATTTCCCAAAACCAACATCAATATATTTTCAAGCATGCACTAATGAAAAATTCACTTTGTGCATCAAAGATCTGACAAATACATATATAAATATATTTAATCTGAAGTTTTTAGTATAATTTGCATCTACCACCAGATTTAGAACACCCCCTGCCCTCTATCCCTATACACATTATAGTCTCCTTTGCTCCTCAGTCTCTTATTTCTCACTTTAGCTCTCCCTATGAAACACCATGAGTCTACTATCCGTGTCTATATTCACGTATCCTGGACTCCACAGAAGTGGAATCCTGTATGTGTTCTTTCACTCAGCATTAAGTTTTCAAGGTTCATTCATGTTGTTAGCACCCACACCCACACCCACACCCACACACACACACACACACACACAGTGCCATCTCCAAGTCTGGAGCACTGAGCCCAGGGCCTCAGACATGCCAAGCAAATGCTTCACCTGAGAGCATTCCCAGACCTTCCTATTTTACTGCTGAAAATAGTCTATTATATAAATATATCTTTATCCATTCAACAGAGCGACAACTGAGTTGTTTCTACTTTTTTGTTATTACAAATAATGCTGCTACAAACATTTGCAGCTAAGTTTTGTGTGGAGAAAATGTTTCCAATTTTCTTGGGTATGTGCCTAAAAGTAGAACTGCTGGGTGCTATGGTAATTCTGTTTAATACTGAACTACCACAGATTTATTTATTTTTTTCTCAGAACCAGGGACTGAACTCATGCCCTTGAGCCAAGCACTTATTCTACTGAGCCATCTCCCTGGCTCCACCACAGATTGTTTTGCGAAGTAGCCACACCATTTTTACATTCCCATCAGTATTGTATCAGGGCTCCATTTTCTCCACATCCTCTTAGTTTTCCTTTAACAGCTTTTGGTAGACATTATACCACATAATATTATTTTTTTCCTTTTTTTCCCACATAGTAACATTCTGTATCTATAGATTCTTCTAAAGGGTTTTTTGTTTGTTTGTTTGTTTTTTGTTTTTGTATTTTTAGGGAAGGTTCTACAGGGTGTTCAGGGTCTCACTACTAGATCAGACTCATAGTGATCCACCTGTTTACAGCCTCTCAAGAGCTGGGATTACAGGCGTGTGCCACCACAGCAGGCCCGGGGATTGAACCGCTGGCCCTTGCACCTGCTTGTAGGTGCTTTAATCTGATGAGCTATTTGGCTGGCCCTTAAGTTTGTTATTTTGATATTTGTTACTTCTAAAGTTGATTACCCTGAAAGCTAGCTCTAGAAGCAGTGACTGGAAAGTTAAGCTCTAACTAAAAGTTAAGCTCTAACTCCACAGTAACAATGCCTTATGTAACTCAACACTACACACTGAGGATATCAATGAGAATAGCACAGGGAATTACAGAGGATGAAAAAAGTCTGCCATTAACTGATTACATACTTACACATTAAAAAATACTTTAGACAGGCATTGCCTTAAGTTTATTATAGGTCAGTTTATAGTCAGTTGGCCCCAACACAGGTTAGCATGGAAAGAAACATCACAGAGAAGAAACAATTCATGCAGGGAAGAAATAGCAGCAGCAACAGCAGCAAGCAAAAGCAAGAGCAGTCTTTCTGTCTCTTATGTTCCATCCAGGATACCAGCCCCTTAGGTGGTACAACCTACATAGGGTGGTCCATGCCCACAACTATGCAGAAACCAATCAGTGGACTAATTTAGCCACCACAGAACCTTGATCCCATCATCACACAGTCCAAATCCAGCAACTACTACAGAGTACCACCTATGACCACATGACACTT